GACTGGAGATCTCGAGTTCAAGACGCGGTACTACCAAACACTCTTAACATTTTAACTGAAGAGAAGCCACTTTTGGTGGTGGTTATTACCAACTGTTTTTCTTCCTCTACAGTCCGATCTTCAAAATTAGGGAAGACCGATCCTACTGAGTACTTAAAGTATCGATCCGGTGCAAAAATAAACAAATGTTCGGCAGAAATACACTGTTACCGTTTTAAAAAATCGCCTAGTGTTTAATGTGCCTGTGAAGTAAATTAGTTATTAAAATGAAAAATATGGCGTGGCTAAAATTAAAGAACTCGAGCTGTAACGTTTTATTGATTGTAATTAAATTAAGAACTGATGTACGGTACAGCAGCTTCTATTACACATTTAGCAAACTTGGACCTCTTAATTTCCTTTGTTTTTCTGATAAAAGAAATGATAAAGACCTTGTTAATTACTACGAAGTTACTGCATCTTGAAATATGAAATGATGCAGTTTTGCATAACATTTAAAATAAATACAAAATTAAAAGCAAACAAGGTGGTTTTGAAATTTTTAACTAGACAAAGTCTAGATGTACGTGTTCTTTCTTGAATTGAAGAAAACATTTATTGCCACAAAGTTAGTTTTATCAGTAGAAGTTTTTACATTTTGCTTGTAAGGCTGGAATCTCTCATAACTTAAACATAAAAGTTATGTACAATAATTTATTCTACCCCCCTTGTAAATACGTTTTTACAGATTTATACATATATATATATATATTTAGAAACACTACTGCCTTTAACACCTCTAGTCCACAAAAACATGGGGTGAGCATAGCCTTATACATAGCATGTCTGAACCGTGAATTCATGGTTTGTGTCATGTTGCTGTAAAAATGCTTTCTGCTCTTTGAGGCCTTGGGTTCTCAGTAAGAATAAGGTCAAATCTCACTACTTAGTTAGCTGAAGGAGTGACTGTCACTCTTATAATGCCCATTAGCAATGTTGTAAAGTTATGTTTGTTATGATCATTTCATTTTCTTAAGAACATATATTTTGGTGTGTTCAGTGGTAAGTCTACACTGAACCTCTTTCAGCCTGGGAGCTGTAACGTTTCCAGTGGTAGAAATACTGAAATTGTTTCAGTCTGGGAGTCAGTATAGTTTTCAGTGTTAAGAGTACTGAAATTGTAAGATGTATAGGTGAGAAATCTGTACATATTTCGACTAGTTTTCTGGAAATGATTAAATTTTTGATAGATTTATTTTATTTCTCAAATTAGTATTATTTTGTACCATAATAATTAAACTTTACAGTTGATTGAATTCACCACTGGTGAAATGTTGGATAACAAGGGCTATCTGTGCTCTGCCCACCACGGGTATCGAAACCCGGATTCTAGCGTTGTAAGTCCGCAGACATACCGCTGTGCCACTGGGGGACGGATGACAACTGTTTTTGTTTTTAATTATGCACAAAGCTACACAAGGGCTATCTGTGCTCTGCCCACCACGGGTATCGAAACCCGGATTCTAGTGTTGTAAGTCCGCAGACATACCTCTGTGCCACTGGGGGGCGGATGACAACTGATGTACTTTCTTGGAATGATTACATTGGTTTGTAAACCAAAAGAGGAATTTCATGTAATATTCATTGATTAAAATGGAGAGATAATGAATTCGTATTACTTCTCCTAGCTAAACTTTCGTTCTTGTAGGTGCTTTCTAATGTACGTTAGTCTGGGTGTTTGTCAGTGGCCATCCAACATAATAGTCTTCTTTGGATCCCCTGATGTCTTCCAGATGATGTTCATTGTAAAGATGCTTCCCAGTCTTAGTATTCATTGTACTTTGAGTAGTTCAAACCTAACATTACTGTATCGGTAAGAAAGGGGAGATACAACTATTATTTGCTGAAGATGTTTTTAAAAAAAAAACTTCCATTTGCAAGATACTTGTTAAGTTAAATCAACAACAACAAATTCAAAGGTTTAAGCTAGATTTTTGATGTTTCAAGTCTTTGCTGCCACTTTACTCCTCAAATACAAATGAGAAAAAGTGGGACGGTAGTAGCTCCAAAAATCTAAGTGAAAAATATACGTGTATATAAAAAAAGATCAGTGATCTATACACTTTCATATTTTGAATTTAATATAACTTTGTCAATTACCATAATGTCTAACTAATCATGTGCCATAATCAAATATAAACAATATAATGCACCGAAAATCTGACAAAAGAGACCAGTATTGAAATATTAAAAACACTTATGCTTGTAATACAACAACATTCTATTTCAAGTAACATAAAATAAGTCATTATAATTATTGTCCTTATTTATTACTGTCAAGATCCCGTGGGGAAGGGCTGTACATTACAAGTCTGTATTTATAATAACTCAAAATCAAGTTTACAATTACCTTTAATAAATATCCCCCAGTGGCACAGCGGAATATCTGTGGACTTAAAATGCTAGAAACCGGGTTTCGATATCCGTGGAGGGGGAAGAGTACAGATAGCCCATTGTGTAGCTTTGTGCTTAACTTCAAACAAACAAATAAACCTTTAATAAAATACATTTTTGTTTATAATTTTTTTATGAGAACCTATAAAACTGATTAAAATGTAATATCTAACTAAAATTTATTTTCAAAGCTGTTTCTACTTCTAGTAGTAAAAAAAAATAAAGTGCCAGATGAGTAAAGGCTAATTTTTGGACAAGCATACGTGTGGATTGGCACTATGATAAAGCTCTCGATTTTGAAGCTGGCGAGCCGGGTTTGGATCCATGTTATAATAGTCCTCACATTTAAGCTGTGAGTTATTGTTTATAATGAGTGGTTATATATAGAACTCCACTGGTTGACATTGAGGTTAACTAATATTGCTTATAATGAGTGGTTACATATAGAACTCCACTAGTTGACATTGAGGTTAACTAATATTGCTTATATTCATGAAATTGTCCACATGCCAGCTTTTAATGTGTTGTCCATTATCTTTAAATGTATATCTTAGTTCTGTATTATGAACTCTTGTATGTAATTATCGTGTTATTAAACAATTATGTTCTTATAATGAGTGGTTATATATAGAATTCCACTGGTTGACATTAAGGTTAACTCACAATATTAGTTAACCTCAATGTCAACAGTGGAGTTCTATATTATAACCACTCATTATAAGCAATATGAGTTAACCTCAATGTCAACAGTGGAGTTCTATATTATAACCACTCATTATAA